GGCATATGTCCGTGTGACACCCGACGAGGATGCAAATCCTTTACGCCAAGCATGTAGCCTTGGCAGGCACAGTGCTCATGTGCTCCAGTCCCACCCACGAGCAGGGCATCCTTTCAAATTTCGGTTTCCCCCCGTACTTGACTAACGGCCAAGACGACACGATGTGATTGGTTTGCGTCGTCTAGTCTAGCGTGTCTCGGAATGCTCATCTAATTCGCCTTTGCCGAGACTCACTTTCTTTGAGCTTTGCTTGTTAGGTACCAGACACCCACCAGATCCTCCTCTCTCTCTCTTCCTCCCTCACCATGTTTCTTCTGTGATACGCTTCCAGTCATTGCCATTCTCCGCGGCGCCCGACATTTGCATCATCACCACCGCTGCCTTTTGCAACTTCGACTTCAGCTGCTTGACACCAGCTTCGAAAAACATGCACCTCCCATCGCGCACAGCTTGGTCCCTCCTGCTCCCTTTGATCAGTCTTGGGGCCGTTGCTAACGCTGCGGATTCCGGCATCATCGAGGTCGACCTTCTTTTCCCGCGCAACGAGACATATGCGCCCACCGAGTGGATGCCTTTCGTCTTTTCCATCCGGAATGGCGAGCTCTCAAAACATCTCAATCCTTTTCTTGATTACCGGGGATGGAACACGTCCGACTTGGGAGATGGCGGGTTTGACCACACATTTGACAACATAAAATGGGCAAACTGGTCTGGCCAGGACCCCTACTTTGTTTACCACTTCCGCAACGACCTCCAGACCGAGGGAACCTGGTGGCTCGACTGGGAATACTTTTTCCTCAGTTGCAAAGAGGATTACACAAAGCAGTGGGGTTCTGGCAAGCCCGTGTTTCTTAACAGCACGTCTCGACGCATCACATTCACCATCAAAGAAGGCGGCCAGGCGGTAGATCTCGTCGCTGCCACGGCTAACGACAAGACGTGTTCCGACCAGAACATAGCTGCGATCAACATCACCGGCAAAACTGGGTATGCTCCGGGGGCGCCTCGAGAGCTGCCAGATGAAATCTGCGCAGTGGTGGGATCCCCCGAACCAGCCGCCACCCCTTGCCAGGTCAAGGTGGACTCGGCCGTTGCCGCCAGCATGACGGCGTCGTTGAGGGCCAAGTTGTGCGATCCCTTACGCACCCTAAATCCTCCGGCCGACTGTCCGGAGGACAGCGCCGCTCAGAGGCTGGCTGTTGCAGGTGTGGTTTGCTTGGCAGCCGCCGCAGGAGTGATTGGATTTTTGGCTTGAAGATGATGGGATTTGGGGAGTGTAATTCAATGATGCATCTTACCTTATGCAGGTGCTTCACCCCTTAACGCAGGAACATGCACCGCTGTACGGTATGCACGTAATGTAATAATGTACCTATGCGTTATCGCCAAAAAAAAGGTTCCTTGCCACTGAATCTTGTTTTGCTCGTGGCTTTGGCAAAACGTCCTAACACGTGGTTTTTGACCCCTCGACTAGACCTACCCCTAGACAATTCCACACCTCCCCAATTTCACATTTCGCATGACCCATAACTTGGGGCTGACTCCGAGAACCCTAACCAAGCCGCACCCTAGAGGTATCAAATCCCTACTTACACACAAAGCCAAAATCATATCCGCCCTCGCCATTGTGACCATTGTGCTGTGCCATGCAAGATCAGAAAAGCGGAAACTGCATTGTGGATTCTCCGCATTTTGCATGAGCAATGCAAATGACCTTGTGAAATCGCCTAATCAACTGATCTTTTCACCATGCTGCCTGTACAAGTAAAAGGCCACCCACGACGGGCGGACCTTCCCCTTAGGTGCACAGTTTCACATTGCAGAATTTACACTGCGCTGTATGCGGCCCGGTGCGAAGCGTGGCGGGCCGCGGCGGATATACTAATACGAGACGGGAAGTGGAGAACATTTCCTCCGCATTTCGGTCTAAATACCAACGACACCTCCTTTCCACTCTTCCTTTCCCAACCACCGCGCACAGACCACACATGGAAGACACCTTTGCCCAAAATGGCCAAACCGAAATCCCCTTATGGAAGCCTTGTCTTTTTCACCAGACTGGGACATGGGATTGCTTGTTCCACGCCGTCACCATAGCATCGTGCTCAATCCCTTTGGGGCAATAGCTGGAGGATTTCGCGGCGATGGCCTCCTTTGGGGCTCAATGAAGGGAGCTGAGGTGGCAGGCAGTCTTCGGCAATCCCGCGGTCAACACAAACCGACAACTTCAAGCCAATGCAAATGCTCCCAAAATCAAAGACTTCCCGTCACTTCCTTCAACACCTTCAACAAGGCGAACGTATCAGGCGCAAACCTCGATGGACCATGGTTCGTACCCTCCCATGGCTTGGTTACATATTTCAGGCACGCGGTTTCATTTTGTGAAATCCGCCACTTTCAGGTACCCCCGCCCTACCCAGTCTTGACAACATTGGGCTCGGCCCACCTGCGGATGCTTTTGGCGAAAGACAGTGACCCTTGGCGCGCAGAGTTTTCACCTAGCTGCGAAACTAATATGAAGCATTGTTCGTTAATTTCCGCTCATGGTGCCCTCTGGAACCCTTCTGGGCGACAAGTGAAGCAATACTGTGCTAGTTTGCTACCGATCAGTACACTAAATGGATGGCCATATCCTTCAAATCCTTGAGTCAGCGGCAGCCGCCATCAATCGCATTCGGCAAGTCAGCCCCGGGATTACCGTACAATGGGATGTGCTAACCCTTGCCGATGCTGCCCCTAAGCAGACAGAGCCCTGCAGCCTTGGGGTCTGGAAGTTTGAACACTTGAAAGAGTGAGAGTGAGAGGGAGTTTGTGAGCGGGTATGCAACTAGCATGTTCCATCACCTCGAGGCGGTAACTCGTCAAGAGCGAGAAAACAGCTAGATATAAAGACCACTTCTTCGCTGTCTCCGTTGGCTTAGCAATGAGCAAGGTCCATCATCTCCATCTATTCTTCTGGCTATCAAGGCCTTTATTGCACTGAACTATCGCTTGGATGTAAGTGGCCCCAAAACACAATTGGTACGATATGAAACTAACAACACAACACAGTCTTTATCAAGTCCCGTGTGCATCCATGGTGGCTTCATTATGGTTCACTGCGGGCATGGGGGCACTCGGCCTCCTGCTCTCCGCTGATGGAGGCATGGCTGCCAAACAGCCAGGTTTCCGCTTCCCTTCAAGCCCCGCCTACCGTGAGGTATGCCCTGAGCGATGTATTATTTCCGGGCCAAACTCGGGAAACTGGTCTGTCTATCCCAACTTTAAGCAGATCAAGAAGTGCACCCAGACCATGTTCTACGACTTCAACCTCTATGACCAAGTCGACAATCCCGACACCAACTCCCGCATCGCTGCTTGCACTTCGTTCGGTCCTGACTTTTCCCTTCTACCTCCCAACAACTCTGCCGCACGGACTGCTTTCGTCGACTCTGTCAACGTCGAATTTGAAGTTGGCTGGCATGAGGAGGGATTCGGCCTGGCTGCTTCCGGCCTTCGGTCCCTGATCAAGCAAATCCGCAAGTACATCGACAACGGACACGGAGCGACTGATGGGCCCTTCATTGTCTATGCTCAGTCTGGCCAAGCCACTGTCGGTCTCTACGTCGGCCAGGGTCTGCAGAACCAAGGCCTCAGCGAGTCTGCCTTGAGCATCTTGCAGGGCAATATCGACACTCTCAATGTCTCGACGCCCAGCTTGGCCATGCAGCTTTGCGGCTCTGGTCTCGACAGCACTCATACGTTTGGCATCATGGTCACCAGCAATGCCACCTTTGCTCCCATCCAAAACGCCATCAAGACTTGGGCCAACGCCACTTGCTTGTCCTTTGCCGGCTCCAAGAGCTTTGCCGGCCAGGCCGTATTTACCACGCCCCTTCTGCCCACAAACGGCACTTTTGGTCTGAATTCCACCATCGACTCCAACTCCACCGCCCAGGTTAGAGGGCACGGCCCCAAGTACCACAGGGCTCTCCACGCCCTCCATGCTCGTGCCGAGTGCAAGAGTGCGCAGGTTGAATCTGGTGATAGCTGTGCTTCGCTGGCCACCAAGTGTGGCATTTCGGGCGCCGCCTTCACAAAGCTTCACCCCGCCTCCGACTTTTGTGCCAGCCTGAAGCCGAAGCAACATGTCTGCTGCACTACCGGAGATCTTCCTGACTTCCGTCCCGTTCCTAACACCGATGGCTCTTGCTTCTCGTACAAGGTCAAGGCCAATGATAACTGCGCTAATCTCGCTGCCGAGTATGGCTTGACCAACAAGGACATCGAGGGCTTCAACAAAAACACCTGGGGCTGGAACGGCTGTCAGCTCCTGTTCACTGACACCATCATGTGCCTGAGCAAGGGAAACCCGCCCTTCCCCGCCCCGATCGCTAACGCCGTGTGCGGTCCGCAAAAGCCAGGCTCCAAGGCGCCGACTGATGGCTCCAAGATTTCCAACTTGAACCCCTGCCCTCTCAACGCTTGCTGCAACATCTGGGGCCAGTGTGGTATCACCAAGGACTTCTGTGTTGACACCAACACCGGCGCTCCGGGAACTGCCAAGCCAGGCACCTACGGCTGCATCTCCAACTGCGGCACTGACATTGTCAAGGGTGACGGGTCCGGCGCCATCAAAATTGCCTATTTCGAAGCCTACAACCTAGGCCGAGAGTGCCTCCACCAGGACGCCTCTCAGGTCGACACATCCCAGTACACACACATCCACTTTGCCTTTGGTACCCTGACCACTGACTACCAAGTTGAGGTTGGCGATGTCTTGTCTTCTTACCAGTTCCAGGAATTCAAGCGCATTAGGGGCGCCAAGCGTATCTTGTCCTTTGGTGGCTGGGACTTCTCCGCTCTGCCTGCAACTTACTTTATCTTCCGCAACGGTGTCACCGCCGCCAACCGTCTTAAGATGGCCACCAATATTGCCAACTTCATCAAGAAGCACGATCTCGACGGTGTTGACATTGACTGGGAGTACCCCGGCGCACCCGATCTTCCCGACATCCCGCCTGCCAGCCCGGATGATGGACCCAACTATCTCGCCTTCCTCGTTGTTCTGAAGAATCTGCTGCCTGGCAAGTCGGTCTCGATCGCCGCTCCCTCGTCCTATTGGTACCTCAAGCAGTACCCTCTTAAGCAAATCGGTGCTGTAGTGGACTATATCGTCTACATGACGTATGATTTGCACGGGCAGGTATGTGGAAACATCCGATAAAATCTTTCCCTTCGTCCTTTGTCTTTTTTTTTTCTTCTTTTTTTTGCTTTTTTTTTTTCTCTTTTTTTTTTTTTTTTCCCTTACATTCGTGGGCTTGACCCCAGTACATGAGCACCTGATCACTTGCCTTCCCCGTCGGATCCATCACGTTGCTGTGGAATGAAATGATGCTAACGAAGGTTGGCCCTGACTCAGTGGGATGCCCACAACAGTTACTCTCAGGAGGGATGTGACACCGGCAACTGCCTACGCAGCCAAGTCAACCTAACAGAGACCAAGCAATCGTTGGCCATGATCACCAAAGCCGGAGTCCCGGGCAAGAAGGTCATTGTCGGCGTGACCAGCTACGGTCGATCTTTTGAAATGGCGCAGCCTGGCTGCTGGGGTCCAGGCTGCTTTTTTACCGGCGACAGCATGAACTCGAACGCGAAGAAGGGCGTGTGCACCGGCACTGCCGGGTAAATTGCAGACGCCGAGATTGCCGAGATCATAGCCGGGACCGGCTCGAAGCGTTCGGGCAGAGTCATCGCCAGCTTCGTGGATGCAAGCAGCAACAGCGACATTCTCGTGTACGATAATAACCAGTGGGTCGGCTACATGAGCGGCGCCACCAAGAAGACCCGTTCGTCTCTGTACGCGGCGTGGGGATTGGGAGGTACCACGGACTGGGCTAGTGATTTGCAAAAGTACAACCCTGTTCCGTCGCCTTCCAAGGATTGGAAGACCTTCAAGCTCGCTATCCGCTCTAACTTGGATCCCAAGTCCGACGATGGCGTCCGTGGAGGCAACTGGACCAAGTTGACCTGCACCAACGACTTCACGCGCCACCCACTTGAACATGCTCCTCAGGAGAGTTGGAAGGAGCTCGGCGCGGATTCCGCGTGGGAAGATGCTATCAGAAACTGGAAAGATAACAACCGTGACAGACAGGGCTACTCCTTCATGGACTCGATTGGAGATACATTCGGCATGGGACGTGGAGCCAACACACAGTGCAACCAATTAAGCGTAGGGGACAACTGCGACGATTTTTCAGATTGTCCCAACAGTGCGAACGGGGACAGTTCTGGTCCTGCGGCGCAATTGATCTGGAACTCACTGGTGCGGATCCATCTGGTCTACCATGAGTACTACAACGCTTTGTCCACGGCTTCCGGCGTCATCAGCATGTCTCTCGGTAGCATGACCAAGACTTTCGCACCCGTCCCACCGCCTCCTGATAATTCGATGACGGAACTCCTCATTGATTTTTTCACTCTTGGAGCCCTCTCATTCGCCGGTCCTTTTTTCAACACCTTTCTCAAAACCACGGCGTACTTCGCCGCAAAGCAGGGCTCTTCGGCTCACGACAACATCAAGGACACGGTTATGACCCTAATCGGTCAAGGCACAAGCATTGGCAAGGGCTTGCTCCCCGACAAAGGCGAGGCGCCATGGCAGACAAAGACCAGAGCGACTTCTCCCACTACATGGGCAAAGCCATCACCGCCTGGCGCGACGCCATCGCCCTCTCTGTTAAAAAGCTTTTCAAGGGCGAGGACGAGGAGCTCGAAGCCATGTGGGAGCTTATGTCAGACGGCAAGCTGATACGGGGCTTAGGGGAAGCACACTTCGACGTCAACAAGACTTCCACGGACATGGAGCACGACGTCTCCAAGTCCTTCTACGCCTTCGCCATCCCCAACCTATGGCGCTACTCCAAGACCTATGCCTTCGTCATCGACTCCGGTATCTCCTGCGGCACCGCTAACCCGCTTGGAGATTACTTGACCGACGATACCATGAAGAGCACCGGTTCCTGCGTCGACGACAGATGGTACTTCCTTGTGCACCCCGAAGGCGACTCCAAAGTGTGCAAGTGCGAAATCCCCGCTGGCCACGGTCCTTGTCAGACCGTTTGCCGCGACAACAAGTTCTCCGCTCCCACCGGTTTCGACTCCCTAGAGAGCTTCAATATCACCAAGAATGATTTGATCAAAGGCTCGGTTCGCACATGGAAGGCAAACGGCCAGAGAAACGGTGGTTCCCTTGCCGATCCCCGTGAAGGCAGCACCATCGATGACCTTCTCAAGGTAGATATTACCACCCCCGGCTACGTCCGGCTTCCCGTCTGCTCTCCTGAACGCGCCTTCCAGTCTTGGGACACCTCCAGCAAGGGGTCATCCCCTAACTACCCCTGCGACATCCCGCCCGGAAAGAACAACTGCGGCGACTCGACCTTCGAGAACCAGACCTCCGGCGGCAGCCCTTCTGTGGAGGACTGTCTCCAGATCATCAAGAACATCGAGGGAGACGGCAGCACGGAGTGGACGGTGGGTATCGGCGCTCAGAAAGAGATTGCTAAAGCCGGTAAATGCAGATTCGGCGTGGAAGCAGAGGGTGTCAAGGGTAGTGTCACCTACAACGTCGGTGGGCAGGATATGATTGATATCATCAACGAGTCTATCAAGCAGTTTGGAGGAGGCGGCAAGGTGGGTGCCAAGGGGTATATGAAATGCAATGGTAATGCCAGCCAGCAGCCTGTTAAGTGAGGTATTTACTAGATGAGCTTGCCCTCTGTCACACGGATAATGCCCACAATCCAGGGTAAGGGTCGCAAGGCTCAACAGAGCCTCGACGCTTGGTATCAGCCTGGGGATGGCCGGAGGCCTCCGGCCGCAACACTTACCTCGGCCGGACTTTTGCCACCGGCACTACTTACCCGAACTTCCCTTGACGTCACCGGGCTAGCGAGCCAACCATAGGAATGCCGAAGGCACTAAAAGGATCACCACAAGTCAATCCAAGTCACCCTAAGAACAACCACAGCCAACTAAGCAAAGAGCAGGACGTTTGGATGAAGGGCGGCACTAGGAAAGAGATAGGGAATGGATGAAGGCATTCCGGAAGATCCACATGTACACAGCTGCTAGATAAATGCCTTGAAGCCTC